TTTTTTTTTTTTTTTTCTTATTGTAAATAATTAAGTTGAATTTTTTTTTTTTTTTCCTAAACTTAAGTTGAATGAGAAACGTCATACCACAACTGATATGGTTGTTTTGTTGAACCGAAAAATATCGTTCTTTTATTCAATAAGGTCTAGTTTGAACAGTAAACCACAATCGCAACCTAGCCTGGTACTAATCCTCCCAACCCATAACCGATTGGTCTAGTTTAGTGAACCACATGCTATGAATAGGCGGTAATGGACAATCAGGAGTCAAATCTAAACGAATATAGTGTGGGTTGCTACCAAGATGACACATGACAATCTCACGACATAGTCCTCTAGCCAATGATCGCGCACAGAGCGACAACACTGTGCATTTTGGCTCTAGTGACCAGTCCCTAAAAGTACACGATAAAAATATTCAATGAATTAAACCAAATAATGTACTTTAATTACATATATTGTAATTAAAAATGAAACAACAAGTAGAAATTTACCTGGCTCTAACACCTGTAGCGTTCTCCAGAACGGGTGAATAATTCTGAGATAAATCGAATGACCATAATTCTTTGCTGTACGGAGCAGACAGGCACAAGGAAGTCCATGAGTCTCTTGCAATACATAGCCGCAGCGCTCGTAAACTTCGATGCTCAAGCCATGCATCCTCGTAAGCTCAGAGTTCAGTAAACTCAGACAGTAATGCGAGACCCTCAGTATCACGCTCGCGAAAAGGATTCCCTTATACGAAGTACTCTTCTTAGATCTCAAAGCCTCAAGCGCCGACCTGATAATATATTAGATAACATTAGATTATAGTTTATGCAGTAATATAATAACACAGTTAAAAATTGCAGTATGTAACTGATTTCAGTAAATTGAGAATCGATGTGCTTATTAATCTTCTGCCAAATGTATCGAGCGTGCCGGTGGACGTGTGAAGCCACTGCTTCAACACAGAGTGGGCACTCTCCACCCTACAGGAAGTTGTGTTTCCAAAATGTGTTATGCGATTGGTCCAAGCTTTCACAAACTTCTCCTTGTGCCCTAACCATGTGTTCTCTACATATTGTACCACTTGTGTAGACGACTTCGAGTATTTTGCGCGCATATCGACAACGACATCGTTGTAGTCATCGAACGTACTGACCTCGGCAATTTTTTTGAACGTACCGTGCGTGAACATCTGAGAGAATTTTTTCCTTTTCTTAAAGAGTTTGTAGGCTTTGTCTTCCACATCCTTGTTGATGTGCCACGTGCAGAGTAAGTGGGCTGATTTGTAAAAATGTCTCTGAATAAGAGTGATTAAACCCAACTCTCTGTCGCTGACAACCACATTAGGATATACGTCTTGACCTATCAGAAGTCTCAACTTATGTAGAACCTAGTCGTAACTGGCCTCTTTCTCGTCCCTGATGAGCGCATACGCAATTAAGAAGTTCTGGTTGCACGGCGTCATCCCAATCATCTCGACCAACGGCATCTTGTACCTGTGCAACTGAGACCAAGAAGACAAAAAATATAATCACATAAAACTTAACTTAATCAAACACACTATTTAAGATTCATACTAATAAAGTATTTATAAAGTAAATACCTGTTGGTTTTGTACGTGGAATCTATGCCGACATACCAATGATATGTTCAGAATAGATTGACTGATGCAAGATGGGCCATGAATATATGCGTCAACGCTTTCGTGTTCGGATCGTCTTCTGCAAAAACTGTATACTGGCTTCCCATGGCAAAATGCATAAGCTGGGAAGGAATGTCTCTATCCTCGAAACTCTCTTTCCGCAGCTTATCTCTAAAGTTATATACTTGTCACCGATTAGCGTTAATTATAATGATTATTAAAATTTTAAACAAAAAAATTATTATATTAATAAATAAAAAAGTATATTAATTAATTTATTTGATAAAAAAATTATTAACTATCATAATAATAATACATTACTAAATATAATAAAATTTATTAATTATTAAAATAACTTTTAGATATAAAAAAATTACTAATTATCATAATTAACTTCAAAAAGTTAATTAAAACATATATTATAAAATATAAATATATATACCTGTCGCCGATCAAGGTTGTCTCCCGGATTCTTTTCCTTCAACACGACCATAATTTTTGCTGGGGCCACCTGAGCGTCAGTCATATCACGAATAATATTCTTAGATGAAGCGCTGAGGCCGCTCAACTGTCGATGACCCTCAGGATAGACAACAAATGAATGGTTATGATAGCCCTTATCTTCCTTGCTACATCTACAGATCTTCCAGTATTGCTCGCCTGACACCTTTTTTACTTTTATCTCAAAAGGGCAATTGCACTTATTCGTTTTTGTCTTTCTGGATTTTTCGCCTTTGCCTCTGTAGCGTTTGCCTCTATGGCACTTCAAAAGCTTGACCGTTTTATTTTTGTGTTTCGAAATTACTAATAGGAAACCATTCAGTATTGCCTGATCTTTTGCAGCTTCAATAGACTCCATATCACTATTAAATAATGTATGAGTATCGAAACTGAGACTGTAATCAATACCATCTCCTCCAAAATCTTCCCATGACTCCTGCTATATAATACAATATTTATATTTTTAAAGCATGTTAAATTATAATCTATTCATTCTAATGTATAAAATAATTAATTCTAACATGTAACATAATAATTTGTAACTCATAACATGATATTATCTAACGTCCAATTTATAGCATAATGAACTCTAACATGTAACACAATAATTTGTAACTCATAACACGATAATATCTAACGTCCAATTTATAACATAATCAACTCTAACGGGTAACATAATAATTTGTCACTCCAAACACGATAGTATCTAACGTCCAATTTATAACATAACTAAGACTAACATGTAACATAATAATTTGTAACTTCTAACACTATAATATCTAACGTTAACTTTATAGCATAATCAAGTCTAACATATAACATAATAATTTGTAACTCCTAGCACGATAATATCTAACGTCCAATTTATAACATAATTATTTCGAATATGTAACATAATAATTTATAATAATATTTTTTAAAAAAAAAAACCGTCCGGCCAGTCGAACCAAACGGACCGGTTGCGATCGGCCGTCGCCGCCGGACGTCTTAGACCGTCCGGTCGGCCGGACAAAGCCCATCCGTCCGGCCGGCGAAACCGGACGGCTTTTATGCCGTCCGAACCGGCCGGCCGGTCTACTTTAATACCGTCGGTTTCGGCGGTCGGACGGTCTAAAGGCCGTCCGGACAGTGAAATTTTCGTACCTCTGAACTTGAAGATATTTCGCCGTATACTTTGCTCTGGATGTTTGGAAAAAATGAAAGGGCAAAATCGTTCAAGAAAGCGGTAACTAGTAATAAGGGGAGAGGTAAATAATTAACCCCCATCTATATAACAGCTGACAGATTGTGACGAAAAATAAAATTTGCAAGAAAACTCCGAACTATTTTTTCTGCTTTTAATTGGTGCAAATTCAAAACTGTGAAGTGTGGTTGTATTAATGATAATCGCAGTTTCACTATAAGTTCAACTTTTTCGCCGGAGGAGTTCCTTTAGTTTCAAGCAAGAACAGCATTTTCGTGGGACATATAGCCAAGATCTACCGCTCGCTTCAGTTTTCTCTTCCTCAATCGTGGAAGGTTTGCAATTATTTTAACCTGCCTTTCATTTTTCGTTCCCCAATTATTCTCGGCGTAATAGAGATGGAGGTTAATCCTCAGTTGTTATGATTGTAGTTGTTTTAATTCATTAGTTTTCTTCAGTCAATGACTCATCGGATAACTGTTCATGAAATGAACTAAGAATGCTTTATTGATTTGCTTTTGATCCCCAATTGCCCGATCTCCTTTCATGAACCCTCTTTCTTTTTAGCCCATTTGTGGCTGGTAGGAAAACAAAATAACTTAATTGAGCTTGTGTTGTTTCGAGTACCATTATTTTAATTGAATCAATCCACTTAATCCAATCCTTTCCATTTTTGAATATGTTCAAATCTTAACTAATCAGGTCATGGCTGAAAAGCAGTTGAAGCAGTGATATCGTGGCTGGAAATATTCGTATTGGATCAAAATATTGTACAGCCAAATTTTATTGGACTGACTCCACAAAATGTCCCTAGAAGGCGGCGAAAGTAGTGGGGTTATTGAAAACCCTGCAGAAGATGTTGTAAAACAGGAAGAGAATGAGCAGCTCAACTCGAGCCCAACTGTTGAGGAGAATGGATACCATGATGGAAATGAAGATTCTAACAGCCACGATGAGCTTGTACAGATGGTGGCAGAACTCAGTTTTCAGAATGAATATTTGAAGTCAAAGTATGAGGACTTGAAGACTGTTATTCTGGATTCTGATGGGCCAGACCAAGAGAAAGCACAAAGTCATGATAACAGTGTGTTGGGTGGAGATGTGAGACAGATGCTTGAAGAAATAGAATCTCTGAAGAGAGAACTTGTTGAGGAAAGGCAGACACGAGGTGCTGCAGAGGAAGCTCTCAAGCACCTAAGAGCCGCGCACTCGGATGCTGATCTGAAAGCGCAAGAGCTTTCTGCCAAATATGCTGAAGGTTATATTTAAGTGGTTCTGGGTTTTTATTACTCCCAAGTTCATGGATGTTATATTAGTTGAAATCTTAAAACCTTTTTGTGCATGGATTCAAAATGGCCTGCTTGATACTTTCAATAGCAATGAAGTACCTTCATTTGTTTATTCTTGTCAGTTGTTTGGCTCAGAAAATTTACTGTGGTGTCATTGTGGTATAGCTCAACAGAAGATGGATCAAGAAATAAAAGAACGGGATGAGAAGTACTCTGAGCTTGATTCTAAGTTCAACCGGCTCCATAAAAGAGCTAAACAGCGTATCCAGGAGGTGCAAAAGGTGTGTGGTTTATTTTCTTATATCTCTTTTTGTTTAGTTATATATTATTAATTCTGTCTCTCTTTCTCTGACACATTTTTTTTATCATTCCACTTCTTAATGATGTCATTTTGTGTTTGAGTTTAGTGGATTCAGCATTTTCATGACTGTATTCTTGAGTTTCTTTTTTTAGGAGAAAGATGATATTGAAGCCCAGTTAAGTGAAGTTAATAGCAAAGCTGAACTCGCATCTTCCCAGCTGTCAGCACTGCAGCAAGAGTTGGAGCGCACGCGGCAACATGCAAATGAAGCACTAAAAGCAATGGACACAGAGAGGCAACAATTGCGAAGTACTAACAACAAGTATGATATCAAAAAAGCTTCAAGCCCAGGCATTTATTTTTTGCATAAATGCTAACCTTACTACAATTTTTTCAAATGATAATTTCTTATCTACGAAATGAATATGGGACATTTTCATTCCTAAATGCTCTTCACATCATTCTATGTAGTTGGGTTCTTCGTTTCTTTTTCTTTTACTGGTTTTTTTGGGAGGGGGAAGTGTGGGGGGCGTAAGAACCAATATTGTATTGATTAAGTGTGCAAATGTTCTCCGCATTTACATTCATGTATAAAGAAGAATTGTGTAAGCCAAACAATACGTGGAAATATGATGTCTCTCCATACCATAAAACACCATCGGTACTATGAATACAAGGACTTCCTTTTTCTTGTGATCGTTCAGCTGTTAGCAAGCTAAGATATAATAATGTATTATTAAGCACGTAGCTATAAATTTTCACTTAGTTGTATGAGATTGTGAAGACATCTGAATTTGACCTCGTTAGGCCATCTTAAGAAGTGGGTGTCAATCTTATAATTATATGTTTGAGGCCAAAAAATTTCTCTGGACACAACTAGTAGTCTGATTTTTAATTTAAGAATCCTTTCAAATGGTCGCAACTCCCAAATTATTGCATAACCCTTAGGATACGTTACTTATTTATTTAAAATCTCATGAATGCTTTTAGCAGCCTGTCAAAGGATAATGGGCATCTAACTTTGACAATTGTCTGTTTTCCTTTCAAATAATTTATCAACTTTCTCTTATGAAGACTTCGGGACAACATTGAAGAATTACGTCATTCTTTGATCCCCAAAGAGAATGCTCTGGAGGCAATGCAACAATCCATGCTGGAGAAAGAACAGGTATCTTCGACATATATGTTAAACTGGAGATCAAGAAATATTTTAGTTATGCAAAATATGAACGTGAGTACTCCTCAAATACGTCAATATACACTGTTATGTGCCCGTGACCCGTGTGATAATTTTGTTAACATGTTATACAATACAATTCAACCATACGTGACTCTGGAGGGTCACATTATCTGGTAAATCATCCTTAGGGCTACTTAAAAAATTCACATGTATGTTTATCGCTCTGAGTGAAGAAGGCACTTACGTTGAAGTTAAAATTTGTGTCGTTATAATGATCACCAGTCAGTATTTTGTTTTATAGAGTCCCTGGTTTCTCTGTTGTCCCTATCTTCCAATTGCAGTTTACAACCACTCCCAAAGGGGAGCCACTATGAGATTCAGAAGTGAGAACATTCAATAGGAAAACGATACATTAACGAGATGTGGTATGGACACATAGCTGCAATTAAGTCAACACAATAAAAACAAGAACCAAAAACTCTACATATGAATAGTCATGAAAAAAACTTGACCCTATTCCTCAACATTGTACCAAAGACCACCAAAAGTAGTAGAGACTAGATTGAATTTACTTATCTATCCCAGTAGCCCACTCATGTATCATAGATGGTCACACGGGTGTCTGTGACTGTTCTAGAAGACCAACTAAATGGAAAATGGAAAAGTTCCAACGATTTCATCGAGCAATAACCCTGAGAAGATTGTTTCTTACCCATTGTTACTTGTTTTTCATCCATCCTTTTCATGAAGGAATAACTCTAAATAGGTTACATTGGTATGGAACAACAAAGATGTGGCTCCATGTTCTGCTATGTAGCTTGGTTCTGTTTTAAGTTATCATATATATTTGAGACCAGTTGTTTTAAATATGTAGGCTCCACATGCTTCAAAATTTTGTTAAGGTTTGCGTGTTTGGTAGGGTGTGTATATATGTTTATACGTCTACATATATCTATTATCTGTTGAAGTTGTGAGAGTTAGAATGTCCAACCAAATGTAATGTCTCTATTGCACACTCTAAGGGAGTTATATGATTGTTTACGGGACAGATAAGTCAACATAATTTCGGGATGAATTTTTAGGGTTGGGATCAATATGTGGTGATAAATGGTGCATAGAATTGAATTTTGTGGTGGAGAGTTAAACGAAGTTAGAACCCAATGTGGTTATGTTGCGATATAATGCACAGCAATATAAATAATTCAATTTTGTTCTCCTCATCATTACAAAAAATTCTAGAGAATTATCTTCAACCTTGATGGTTTGGGAACATGTGAAAATGAGTTTGTGAACAAAATCCAAAATATTTAAATTCATTGAAGTTTACATTTTTATCATATATTATGCAGCAGTCATCTCCAATAGTAATTAAAGTACCTGGAAAACATTCACGTTGACATTATGTTTTGGGGGCGGTTGTATTTGAGCAGATGTTGGAAGACATGCGAGGGTTACTGCAGGTAGCTGATGAAAAGCGTCTAGCTTCAATTGCTGAACTTTCTCTAAAGCACCAGAAGGTAATGTTTTAATGAGATTTCATTTCCCTCTTCTCCAGATCTTTTCCTAATAGTTCACTTTACTGACTTCTTGATCTTAGTAATTTGTTCTTCCTGCATTTCTTTTCAGCAAGTCGAGAATTTCGAAGCCCAAATGGCTGATTTTTTATCAGAGAGAAGCAGAGCAACTGAAACAATATCATCTCTGCGGGTGCTTTTACACCTCTTACTCTTTAGTTTCATGTCTTATAAAGACAAAGCTCCAGGAAACCTAATTAACCTTTGTTTTTGTATGATTGATAAGTTTCTTGATTGACTTCTTTAGACGTCTTGTCATTTTATCTGCATCTTACACAAAGGAGTTTAGTGTTCCGTCTTATTTCTAAATGCTATATTTTGGTCAGGAGTAATTTGTTTTGTTTATTCACAGGCATTAATTGTAGAGAAAGATACCAAGATTGCAGAGATGGATGCAGCCTCCAGTGGTGAAGCAGCACGACTTCGAGCTGCAATGGAGAAATTAAAAGGAGAGCTCAGTCATCTGAAAAACGAACATGTATAATTCATTCCCCAGCACTTTTGACATCTTTTATTAAAAAACTTTGCAACTCAAATTGCTGGACAAGAGACAAACTGAATTGTCAAGTAATCATAGTGTTCTTAGTATGCTACGTCTTTTATATAATCTCACATTTGTTCTTGTAATTAAGTGTGTCGATTTATTCTCTGGAACTTTTGACATTTTTATCATGTCTATTGCTCATGGCATTTGATAAGAAGTTTAAGCTTTAACTTTAAATCCTGGTATCTAATACATGCTCCTATAGATGACAAAGCCACAAGTAACGGAATATGTACTGAAATAAAAAAGCTAAAATTTGTCGAGTGATTAGGACCTATCTATATTCCATGTATAAGCACAATGTCATATCTACCGTAGTTGCTTGTATCCGACTGCCTCGTGTGCATGCTGGTCTTGGTCATGCCAAGCTTTTAGCGTCTGGGCTTTGTAATTAGCCCTTAAATTTTTAAACTGGTTTGAAATGATGCATCCATATTAAAAAACTTAGATTCTGGTGTTTCATTGCATGACATTTGGTAATACTATGTAAGTCTAAAAGAGATGGGTTTTTCGAAGGAAGAGGAGGATGGTTATCAGTAATTAGAATTTGGACAATTTTCCGAGTACCTCGCTGTCGCTGGACAACCCTCACAAGAAAGAATTCATGCTGGATTACTAATCCAGAAACCATTTTGCAAATAAAGGATAAGAAATCTCAAAACAAAAGAGAACTCATTTCAGCTCTATCATAAGTTGTACCGCAGAGTAAACAATATGTTGGGGTTCAACTTGAGGCAATGATTTAGATATACTGCTTACGGTGCTTTCAGGAGAAAGAGAAAGATGGTCTGGAAGATGTATTGCAGTCCTTGAGATCAAAGCTGGAGATTTCTGAGAATTATAGGGTACATGCGGAAGTTGAAGCAGCCAGCTTACGAAGTATTCCTGTTATTCTTACTATATTTGTTTTCATGTTTTACTCGGGCCATTCTACTAATTTTATTTTTGACAGGTCAATTAGAGTCGGAACTTTCTGTGCAATCTCAGCTGCTGGCTAGGAAAGATGCTGAGCTAGGGGAAGCCAAAGAAAAGGTTTTTTCCAAAACTCTCTCTCATAGGTTTGGGTAAGGGAAGGTTGGATATTTACTGAATATCTCAGTTTCCATTCAAGCTACTACTGGTCTGTAAATTAAGGGAATAATAATATAAAGAACGCTAGAAATAGAAGAATATTGAAGTTGCACTTACGGAAATTTTATGAATGGACTGGTGAGTAGCAAGGTTAATCGTGACAGATGATAAACAAATTTTTAGATTTTATTGTTCTCAGGCAGAATTTAAGTAGTCTGCCCCCCTTTTCTTTTTGATTTCTTACTCTTATTGTTACATTCTAAAGCCTGTCCCTTAATAATTTTCTTCATTTTTACACATTGCAGATAAATCGCATTGAACATGAATTTGCTTCATACAAAGTTCGAGCTAATGCCTTGCTTCAGAAAAAAGATTCTGAATTAGCTGCTGTTACGAACAATGATCAGTTCAAATCACTTGAGGAAGCTCTTAAGGTGGAAACCAAATTATTTTTCTTTATCATTTTATAATGTCTAAAAGCAAGCAGAAACTACTGTTTCTCGATCCTCATACCTGATGGGATTTTTTTTTTTCATTTTATCAGGATGCTGAGAGAGAGATACTATTAATATCTGCTGAGAAGGATAAAGCTTTGCAAGATCTTAAAGAAGCGTTGACAAATTCCGAAAAGGAAATCTCCTCCAGGTGATGATTATCGTGAAGTATCTATCAAATAATTTATACTTAAGAACAATATTCAGTGTGATGAAATACCAAAGATAAAAGTTCCTTCTTTACTTTGCATGTTTTGTTCTTCAATCATGGTTTAATTGCTCCATTACCTATGTTTGAACTGAGACTTAGGTAACTTAAATTTCAAAAGGTGAGTAATTGATTTAGCTCCGTCTATGTTGTCTCAACATAGCAGGTCCCAAGCCCTGGTAAAGGAAGAGGGTTGTGATAGGCTTGGCGAGCCAACGTAAAACCTAGCCGTTCTGTGGAGATGAAACACATGAGAAATCTTCTCTTGGGTTTCATCTCTAGCCTACCCCAACTTGCTTGGGACTAAAAGGCTATGTTGTTGTTGTTGATGATGAGTAATTGATTTATCTACATTCTTCCCCTCAAAGTTACCTTGGGGGCTAGAGGATTGGAGTGTGCGGGTGTTGATGTGCTCCATGATCTTGCGGGTCCATTCGTGCACGACTAACTTCCTAACTTCAGGATTAATGAATGAAGTCATACCTATTGATCACAGAGTTGTGAAGATAAATGGTAGCCCGACCAGTTTTAAGCCTCAAACAACCTTTCTTGATCTTCTATTGTATTCGTACACTTTGCTTGGATTTTGTGGGGGGCAACGATCCTCCTCCGCTTACCATACACACACTACTCGCCTCGCATACGCCTTAACCACCTTACTTTTTGAAACTCTCGTGTGTTTTTGCTCTTGTGTTTTCCATGTGTCACTCTTTGGGGCTGAGGTAATGAAGTTTAACATAAAGCTACAACAGAGACTTAGACTTAGAACTAGAAGACAAGAGAAAGTAGTTAGGTCTCTTGATAGAAATAAGACGTACCATGTTTGGCCCGAACAAAACTATTAAGCCCATCAATAATAACTTGTGTTTGTTGAGCTACCACTCTAATCCCAAATTAAGTTATAGGCTCATTATTATCTGCTCACGAGTTTTTCATTGTTTAAGATATCAGATGTTTAATTAAATTACAGACAATTTTTTTACTCTACGAGAATATATATAAAAGTCTTTCATTCTTTAATTCCGTGAAAGATCCAATATATTAATCATTTATTTTGAGAGTAGTACCACTCTACTTTATTATTATGTGAGATTAAATTAATTATCATTTATTCCACCTGTAGAGTTACATGATAATTCCATATGAGCACTTATCCGGGACATAATCATCCTAAATTGTTGATATTGTGAGGGCATGAATTCCTTCTATAATCAACAAAACACCATACCATATACTTTTAAGAGGTTTCCTCCAACCATATACTCTCTATATACTTTTTTTTTTAATTTTTTTGCATTTCCAACATTTAACATGGTACAAATATTAAATAATTAGATAGTTACTTAAATTAATCAATTAAACTGTTTTAACGCGATGGCCATGGTGTGAGGTGTGGCGAGGACTCCTCGCCTTGAGCAATCGAGGCAAGGTGAGGCTTCAAAAGGCATTGCCTAGGCTCTCGCCACATGTAAGGTGACGCCTTGGTGAGGTGCGCGCCATAGAGAGATGAGGCGAGGGACACGAAAATTAGGGTTATGACTTGCGGGCTTCATTTCTTATATCCAAATTAAACATGTTCTCTCCAACTAAACCCTCAATTAGTTTGTTCCTTTCTTCACCTAACCGACCCTCAACAACTTGTGACTTACCCTCAACAACTTGTGCCTTTTTTTCACCTGACCGAGGCGACCAAATTTCGGTGGCTTTCCAGTGATGACTTCACTTAGAATGTGTTATTCTCTTCCCTTTCCGTCCTCTTTTACTATTTGTTTTTGGACAGCTGAGTGAGGGTTGCAACTGGTTATGGACGCGCCAGCGTCGCTGATACCGACAGTGCTTACGGCAGCCAATTTTAACCATTTCTTTTTCTTTTCCTTTTTTTGTGACTACTTGGATAAGTTTTGCATTTTTTTTTTTGAGTTGATATTAATTGGTAGTTGTTAGATTTTATTTATGAAGTGGAAGACGTGCAGTTAATAAGGGTGAAGAGCACCTTAAGCGGGCGAGCCCAGTTGCTATCTTTGTGAGTTTCCATCCAAAAACAATCAGTAGATGGGAGAACTAGCCCTAATGGGTTATAAATTGGTTCATTTTCCCTATATTCAATTTCGGAGAACTCACAAGTGATATTCCAACATATCCCTCGTGTCATCTGTAACCAATCTGGCTCCAGTCAACAGAGTCTCTCTGGCTTTTGGTCAACAAAGAGTCATTACAGATCCTAGATGATCCTAGATTAGGTCTGCTCTGATACCATGTTAAATGACACTATGTAAATGACCTGGTAGAACTCATCCCAAAAGTTACCTCAAAGAGAGAGGGTGCCAACCCATACTTATACACAATAACAGTCCAGTAGATGTGCGACTACCATAACTTCTGACACTAGCAGACTTTTTTGAATATCTGATTTGTGCCTTTTGCATGTTTTTGTTTGTTTGTTTTTTTTTTTTGCTTTTTGAATGTGGCAATGGACAGACTTCTCCTGTTGAATGCTTTTTTTTTTTCTTCTGCCCATTTTTAAAGTGAAACTTTTATTGTTGACCACATTGAGTTCACATGTTCATATTTCTGGTGCCTTGGACTATTTTTAGTTTTTATTTAATTTTAATTTTTCAATTCTAGACTAAAATTATAAATAAATTGGTCATGGTGCATAATAGTACCATAACTGGTGAAATGTATGATATCTCTCTCTTTCTCTCTCTCTCTCTCTCTATTTTCTGTATAATGGCTTGCCTTGCTTTCATAAGGCAGGTGCCTCGTCTCACGCCTTACGCCATGGAAAATAGGAGGCTTGTCGCCTCGGATTGCTGTGCGCTATTTTAATCACTAGATACTGAAATAGACTTGCAAAATAGCATGATAATAAACCCAAAATATCAATTATTATCTTAAAAATGAGAGAGATAGAGAGAGTATATTGATTATATATATAGGCCTGTTAAAAGTTGTTGCACTGTCAGCAAAATAAATTATGCTAATACAAAGTTCCAAACCGAAACTTATCTAAGAAGTAAGTTGTATTAAGAAACAAATAATAGTGGTCATTTGAATAATCAAAGCTTATAATGTTTATTTCTACATGACTGCCACATAGTGTAATTTCTCATGCAATCAATGTTTTCCTATGGTGTTGGTGTATTTTATTTAGATAATTTTTAAACTTATTTTCTCATGCATAATTTCAAATCATCTATTTTTTTTCTTACTTTCTAATAAATTTCACGACATGATATATTGCACGTTAACATTTGTGAAAGTTAAATAATGAGATGGAATGCGATTTTTTCTTTATTGAAATAATTATTATACTTTTTGCTTTGTTATTTTTAATTTAGTTACTTTTAGATTTAGACAAGTTATATAAAATATATATCACTATATATTAGACACACGTTGTGTATTTGTTTATTCCTACAAAAGTTAATATATGATGTAATCTGGTATTGATAGTATAATCTTTATATATTTGTATTTACCTAAAATAGAAATTAAAATTCTGCTTAAAATTTTTAAAGTTATTAAATTTGGTAATCTTGGTAATCTTTTTTGAAATTTTTAAAAAAATCCTGCCTCTAGAATTTAATTAATCAATTTATGGTATAAAGTTGTCAAAATTAATAAATCTGGTTTTGGTATAATGTGGGCGATTTTATTTGAGGTATTTGATGACCATTTTTATTTTTGGTGAGAAATGTGTTTTTATTACTAAATGTTCAAATTTATGGTATATAGTGGGCAATTTTATTTTGGTATGAAATGTCCCAATTTAAATGGTATGAATTTTATTTGTTATGCATAAAAGTGTATTTGAAAGTTTTGAAAACAAAATAAGTGGTATGAATTTTATTTGGTACGGATATGAAAGTCGAATTTTAAGTTGATTTGTTACAAAATCAAGGTGATATGATTCTCAAATTTTAAAATATTCCCATAATAAGTTGTCATAAGATATTGATGATAATTCGGCATATTGGTATGTTTTCCTCTTGATAATTAGAAAGATCTTTGAACAAATATTTATTAATAAAATATAAAATTTGTAATTTAATTCTAAGGAATACCCTTGTCACTGGTGCCTCGAAGTCTCCTACGCACGTGCCCAAACCATCTTAATTGTAATTCTCTTATTTTCTCCTCTATGGGCGCTACCCCAACTTTATTTCTAATACTTTCATTTCTAATCTTATCTAACCTAGTATGCCCATGTATTTCGTACTAGTTTTGAAAATTAGGAATCGAATTCAAGGGGCAAACTTTTAGCTTACTATTTGTAGACTTGGCTATCTCTTTATATATATATGGCTGAACATTTATTAATTTAGTATTCCATTCCATGTATTTTATGATAGGGTTCTGCCTTCAATTATGTATTTCTTCCATGTATTAAGTGGTACGGTTCTTTTTTGCTTTGCCATACTCTCCAAAGATCGCCTTTGGTGTATTTGGACCACCTGTACTTAATTGTGTACGGCCATACTTGATGGGTGGTCCATTGACTGCTTTTTTAATGCCCTGATTCTTCTTGATAGTTAGTTTTCATATCTCTTGAATAAAAATTTGCCATTAGTTGAGCTTTTCCACTGAATGTCAATTTAACTTAAAAATTAACTTTGATAAAAATATAGTGATTTATTCTTATGCTACATGTTTTGCGGCTGAGGTCAGCGTGCCTTATGGTGGTTATGGTGGGGAGTGTTCTGTTTATGTGTTGTTTTTTTGATGTACAACTTGCCTGATATAATTTAAGAACAAATACTTGTGAAAAGAAATTACTAGGTGCATGCTTGGATACACTCAATATTATACTCAATATTATCAGTTATATGTAATACCAATCAATCATCCTTACACATCACATCAATTTTTAAATCACTATTCGTCCACCCACATAATTTTAATTAACCATCACTTCCAATCACATGTCTTCTACTTTTACATCAAATCAACTTTTCTACTTTTACATCAAATCAACTTTAATTATTTTATTTTAAATATTTTTTTAATGCAAACTCAATATTCCACTCAAACCTCACCCAATCTCTTTTCCAAAATTAACCATGATTAACCAAAAAAACCAATCAAAAAAAAAAAAAAAAA